TTTGGAAAATGAGGAACAACACAGTTGCACCACTTGTGACGGGTTCCTTTTCCTTGTGTATAAAAATGGCCGGTAAATGCATCTGGCTCGTCTGCAAGGAGGATTCCCGTTGTAAAACGTTCCGAAGCATGAAAATTTCTTTCCTGGAATTTACTGATAAGTAAAGAACGCTGTGTTTGACGGACCCCGGGTGCTTCAAGGAACCATTTTGACTCCAACGGAAAGTACCAACCTTACCGTGAGTGTGACATCGTAGAAGATGCAGACAACACTAGACCCTGGAAAATTAATTCTCAACCATCGGTTGAATCCCGCAGACCGCTTACTTTCTCATTCATGTTTTTTGCCTTCGAATCAGCGTCTGCTCAGTTGTACAGTGATCTTCCTCTGTAAAGAACACCGAATTGCCCGACCTGAGGTGGCCTATTCTGAGCGTGAATTCACTTCGACAGAATTTTCAGTGAACCTACCAAAAGTGGCCAACCCTGAGAAAACAGTCTAGCATGAAGGTGGTCCCTTCAGAAGAAACACCGAGTACTTGCCTGCGTCGACGACGAAACATAAGCCTCTTGAAGAAAGCAGTAATGTAGAACGATTTTTAGCGACAGCCCCCACTCTCGGACCATAGAGGAAGCGCTTTCTGGTTCACCTAAAACATGCAGCATCCATGAGAAGAATACTCTTTGTCATCTACCTATAGGCATAAATTGGATGTCACTTTGCCCCACCGTCGCGAGGCGGTTGTGCTCACCTGATCCCGGTCGGTTTCATTGATAGTTTGCCTAGATGAGTGTATGGTGAGATTTCCGATACTGGCACACAGGTGCAAAACAGATGAGAGGGAATGAGGCTAACCCCAGGCAGAGATATTTCGGTTACCTGTGATCTAGCCAGCTTCCTTTCCAGTAGTACTTTCACGGATACCATATCGATGAATGCTGTAACCGGTAATCACGGTGACTACTCTAGACAGCAATTTTGGCAGTAGAGACCCATCTAAAGAGAGGCCGGGTATATTATTAGTACTCCACGTTATTCATGGCTTGGTAACCATAGATCGGTATCCACAGGTGAAGGTCACCCAAGAATATGTCAGACACCATCTCTTGGGATTCGTAGTGCGTAATGTATACACAGAGCAAGCTAATATCGCTCATATGGAATTACCTACGTTATCTTCGTTCCAAAACACAAACAATTTCTTCTCTATGGTGCCGTGGCTCGAATTCGGGCACTGTATAGTCAGACGACCTCCCAACTTCCCGACATATGTGTATATAAGTATACGTTACATATACGTATGAATACATATATACTGATAAGAATCCATTTCGTTATGATCATCGGAAATTGGCTTGCAGCAATCAGACGATTCCAAGAGTACCGTCTGAGTTTCAGTCGCCGGAATTCTATTGTACATCCTTCGAGAAGAAACAGTTACCTTATTAATTACGCAGTTGTATTCGCTAATTGCATTCTAACTCATTAAGGAATGAAGAGCGAATTGATGCAGTCTGTGAGCCCCTGAACAAGGAAGCATAATTACAGGATAATAGAAGGATACAATGGGAATCTCATGCGTCCAGACAATTGTCGTCCTCAAGTATGCTTCACAATAGACTATTCAAAAGTGTTTTGTCTTTCTTTGAACTCCAGTAGTGCACTGCGGCCACTTGAAGTTTTACACTGCCACATATGGTGGGAGTGGTGAACGGTTGTCTCGTTTTTTCCTTGGATTAATCAACACTTACAAAAAAGGTCCTTGCGCGTTGCACAGCAATACTGAACTCGAAATAGACCGAGGTCGATGGTGTAGACAGCTACAGGAAATGAAAGGATTGAATCCAACCTAAACTAACCCTCAGAAGATGCATTTACGCTGCTTGGTATGTATTGCACGTTTCTACATGAATCTGAACATATAACTGATTACTTGTCTGACTTCGTGACTGACAACTTCCTTGGAAGATTTCACGACCTTGCCGAAGCAGTTCTTCTGAGTTGAAATTTCGTACCCTGAGCTAAAGCATAGTAGTCCTTTATTTGCTTCTATCGACAGCTCCAACTCAACTGTTAAGCTGAACTTTTCCACTTGAGTTCCATTTGAGTTCATCTAACAGATACAGATGGTACAGAACACAGTGCGTCATTCATCTGCGTCGTCGAGCGGGCAAACTAAACTCATTACCACTGCTCATAGTGGTAGGAGTTGAGCTCATATTTCTTGCTGCCCTGACTGGCTAAGCAACTGAATCAGTTGACGGAGCTGGGAGTTCCCTAAGCAACTATTATCTCGAAATGCAAAATTCGAGCGCACGTAACATAAAGTAAACAGCTGAACCCTAAGGCCAAGAACAGACTTTTCAATGCCAAAATACACCACGGTGGTTCCGTGATAGTTTTCGTGGCATGTACAATGTTTTGGCAAACGGAAATAGACAGGCATCTTCAAAAGATGTGACCATTTCCTTTGAGGTAATTTCTATAGAGACTATATATTTATGTGGTAACTTGTCAGGATGCAGCACCTGTCTTGATTTGCACTCTGTACATCGAAGCTCACATTGATCGACTTAAGCTGCTCCTAATCAAGAATGGGTTCTTTGAAAACACCTTGGAAACCATAACTTCATGGGTGTCTGAAAGTGACCACAACGTACACAAACAGAATATATATATATATATATATATATATATATATATATATATATATATATAGCCAGATACTCGTAGAAGCTCGCCAAACCCGTCGTGCTCATTCAAACGTTGAAAGACTTGTGCATATTCTTTGGTGAATAGTTCTCGCATACCATCAACTAACAAATCTGCTCAAACTGCCACCACCTAACAACTGCCGCGACAAAGGAGGAAAATCCTTACCAGAGTCTGGCGTCCCCAGTGTTGTGGCAGAAGACCACGGTCGTGAATGCTTGTTTCGATTGGGTCGGTGCATGATGGTGAGATCGATTGGCCACAATGTTGCAGGATGTAGAGAGCGGGTTTAATACGATGGGTAGCCCTGAAGTCGAAAATCTCCAGTGAACCACGATGGGTAGAATGGTTAGCAAGCTAGTTTGCTAATAGGCTATTTTTCCTTAACCTGTCTTTGTATTACATCTGTCAGTCATCGTACACAGCACCACATTTATCATTTTCGTGTAAACCTTAACAGAGAAGTGAATTACCTGTTTCACCTGATCTCCACTGTAGCTACGGGTCGAAACATATGGTGAACTGCATAAAACAAAGCTGTTTAGATAGAGTTTGCTAAGACCACCAATATATCCCTCCAGTTTTTTCTCATATGTACACGGATGAAGTGACTCAGCGGTAAACCAGCAGTTCATCATCATCATAATCAAAGACAGCAACATCAGTGTTGGCACTGATGCTTCAGTACAACCATGGTTGTACGAGGGCTGGAATACTGCCAGGGCGCCCACACATAGACAGGAGAACGATTAGGGTCTTCAACCAAAGCCTTTGGCTCAAAAGCCTGACCGCAAGGCAGCGGTGTTGGGCAGGAAATGCAGCTATATTACCATGTTTCGGAACACGTCGCCATACATGTTCCAACCCCCAACTTGGAGGGCCAGGAGACTGTGTTCGTCGGACCTCTACCCATAGACCAACCTGGTATGACAAACTCTGTGAGCATCGTGCGGACACTCCCCAGTATAGCTCAATGGGCCATCGAGGTACACAAACCGCTACATCACGATCAGGTCCAGTCTCTTCGTGACGGAACCAGTAGTTGACACAATGTAATGTAGAACATACACATAGACCAACCTCAGACAGTTGACAGAGGTTGTCGTCTTACAGAAAACCAGAGTAGGTCTTTATGATGATCATGGCATGCACCCGGTTACAATGTTGACGCCGAAAAATAGGCAGCAGTTTAGAGCACTCAGTCCATCAACTATATGCAAAGCTTGGTGTGCGCTCAGTAGGTCTGTGGTGTCCAGTTGAACTATCATAAAAGTGGGATTCAAAGTTTGTCAGTATGGAAAACACTTCACCTTCGATAGTATCAGCCACGAACTGCCATACATCTTAAGGAAATTTGACAGTGATCTAGGTTGACTCGGATTCACCTTCAGACGAGTGTGCGCCTTGTAAAAAGGTCAGTATGGCGAACATTCCATTGCGCCTTTATGTCTAGGTTTCTCATCAAACGATGATTCATGATATCTCGCTGGGCATCTCTGATATCTTACGGAACACAGAACAAAGGAGACGTTTTTGAATGAGTTCTGTTGTATGTGAATCTGTGTTCTGCACAGAACTGAATCGCATCAATAAAAAAATCCCCTGTTTGACTGTTTGCGCTGAAAATCCTCCCAAGATAGGCTTCAGTAACTGGCGAACTAGATGCATTTACAAATTAACGTAGTGCTGACGAGGAAACTGAAATTTATCGTTTGCCTCAAGAAGAGCAAAGCCAGTCGTGGGCTTCTGGGAGGTTTTCAGCAACCTTATGAGCATGGTATTCAGTCAAGAGTTTGGTAACCCTCGTTAGGCAGCAAGGCAAGAGCTTGTTAATCTACCCGATTATGAGTTCCTTTAATGAACCGAATTTTATTGGTCTGGTTTCTCCAGAAAAAGAAACCGATTGGGACTTCATCAAGCGAAGGTGATGGCCATTGTCTACATCAGTCTCGGCGCATTCACTGCGTATTGAATTGTTTGTCAGTGAAATTGTGACCATGAATATATGTATGCGGAAGAGTTCTATCATGTTCCAATGACCATAGTCGTCGTTCAGCGAAATTCGAAACCTCCAGCTGAAGAATTAGGTGGGACCTGTAGGTTAGGTGCCTGCCTGTACGTATTGCGGTCAGTTCTCACTTCACTCTAATATTCCCTTCACAATATTTCCTTCCTTAAAAAACATGCCAAAATCTCCAGGCCAAACAGGTAAACGCGGTCTGTATAGCGTCTTGCACGCATCGATCGATCTGAGACCAAACGCTTAGTGTTTTTCCGTTGGTTTTACCATGTTGCTTCCAATCTCCAAGACACTGTATCACCTTGATCCTGAAAGTCTGAGTACGTTTGCATCTACGACATCCACCTGGGAATCTGTCCGAAAGGTAATTGTACTCTGGTTGGGCAACTCCTCTATCCCGTCGCCAAATTATTTCACTCAACATTTCAACGTGGAGGTGGAAGTGATTGTAGAGAATGAAATCTGCGCTGCGCTTCATGAATCTGGTCGACCATCTGTTGAAGTTCGCTTCCAGGCTTTCCCCGCCGAAATACCCACGCTAGCCGTCTTCTCGTTCGGTGTGGACTTGCGCCTCTCACGTGAACAGTTCGAGCTCACCTTTGCCACCTAGAGGTGCCAACCTGGAGGTAAACAACGTTTTCGAATGTACATATTCTTCATGCTCCGTGTGCGAAAAGCCTTACTACGTTCTCTGTCGGCATTGCTTATATTATGCAGCTGTTTTGCATTATAACGGCTCAAGCTGTACCTCTTCGGTGTGGTTTTGACACTGGCGTGCCAAACCTCGATTACCGGATCGCAGCTCACTTCGGACGCAGCACAAAATACCACAGCATAGCACGCCCATTGAAAGTTCTGGATCAGCTGGATAGTTGCTCTCTTCAAGTAAGTTCACGCTGTTACAAGTATGCGAACTTTCCTCTCTGTCACTGAGACCTCATCAGCATGCCTATCATTGAAAAATCCTGCCCTTTACTTGATATCCTAATTTCTCATTTAGCAGTCCTCTAAACTGAACTGGGTCATGCATAGTGTGTTTGAAGCAAAGCTGGTAAGTAAAAATGGTGCACTGATACTCGACAGGGACAAAGTAACCTACACCCCAAAGACGACAGAAAATGGAAAGAATGTCGCTGCATCCTAATCACAAGATATGATGTTTGCATGACGTGGACAAGTCAAGAGGAACGGCGCAACAACTGATATCTGCAGGCAGATGGTGTGTGGATGTGCCACGCTCCATCGGCAGGCGAGTTCCACCGCTAATAGTTGATAGCACAGAGACTGCTCTCGAATTGCGTGAGACCAGACTACTGAAAACACTTTGATGCTGCTAGAAGCTACCTTTATTACCCAGTTTGTACCATTAGGAAAGTGGTGTTGATCCTGACAAATTCCGCCTAAAGATCTTCGCGTGTAGTACACAATCTGCAGAAATCAATAGATCACCATGATGTAATATACCAATAAATCCAAAGAATTCTGACGGCATGACTTAACATACCGAGAAATAAAGAACATTCGTATGCCAGATGGGATAGATTTTATCCAACCGGACACGAGTACCATTAAAACTGGAAGTCCTATTAATCTTCCCTTTAGTATGGGACCATGGCAACATAAAATATCCTAGCAACAGAGACCTTTGCCCCCCTCCCAAGTACTTCGATCCAGAGGTGAATATTTTCAACGGTGTAGACCAATTGCTCGACCAGTATAGATCATGCTTTCAACCTATTACTCTGCACAATGTGTCAGGAATTCGTCCTACTTATTCTACGTGATAGTGCTCATATTCTGTCCTACAGATCATTGCAAACGGGTAGTTCTTTTATTTCCTAACCAAGCAGAGTGAAAACAAAAAATGATCAACTAAAGGGGGTTCGACTGTGATGTAACAACAAAACACGGATAAATATTCGAAATTTTTCGGCTAGCGAGTTATGATGTTGCCTCACCCAATTTTCCATAATCCGTTTCGAAATTTTATCACTCTATACAATTTAACAGGTTCACCTATACCCAGCAGATCACGGTACATCAGTAAATGAAGATCAACCGGCAAATGCGTGTTTCCTCTTAAAGGAAGACCAGAATGTATCGTCCGTACGGCCCTGCGAAGTGGAACTGCAAAACCGGTCATCTCATAGAAACACCTCCTTCTAGAGTGTTTCCTTGCATGAAGTAACGCATCACAGAATGAGCTGGGATTTCTCAGTGTACTGGATAGCAGTGAAACAAAAAGCTGCCAGTAGGTCTCGAGCATCTGTTGTTTTTGCTCCGCTTTCAAGTTGTCTTTCGCGGGGTTTCGTGGGCATAGAATCAGCTTTCCAACTTACTGATGCACAGACAGCTGTGCTATCGAGTGGAATGACTGAAACGGATAGAAATGCGTGACAAATACAAGTTGCTGTACGTCATACGGCTCTTCGGTCGAAATTTATCATTTGTGTCATTTTATCAAAGTTCATACAAACGTGAAAGAAAAATGCACCTACACTGTTCATCAAAAACGCACATTGTCCGTTCACCATTGACATGCCCAAGGAAACTACTCACATTTCTCTACGGCGGTCTGAACATATATCTGGTAGCTTATTCCGTCTGCCCAGTTCACTGCAAAGAGAACATTCAAGTTCATTCATTCAATTCTGTGCTCTCCACATATCAGACAGCTTAGACTTCAAGGTCGAAGCCCTTACGTCTACCGAACTAGCTTCATTGTACCCTTTAGTTAATCGGTCGGAACCAACTTACTGTGTGCTTCTTAGTTGTGCCATCCTATTATACTAAACCATTTACACTCATACCAAGCCTATCCAGCGTGAAGCAAACTGCGACCACCTGTGTGATCGAACGCAAAAGCCGCATAAACTGATCCCCACCGTCCGAGTGCCCAATCCGCTGCTGAATCCAGCTAGCGGCCCATGAGTGTATCATTCACATATCTGCGATAGAGTCGTTATTAACTCCACATACTTTTGTGAACGATTGTTCACAAAAGACAACCTTGGGAAGGCAATAGATCAGCAATTAAGCTTCATTAGTTCGGTTCCACTGCGTGCTAACCGAAGTGAATAGCTATTCAACCTCAGCTCGTTAGACTGCTTGGAAGATTGGTGTACACAGTTTTCATGCTCGAAATTGCTTAAGACAAAAAAGTGAAGTTTAGCCGCACAGCCAGGATGACAAAAATGACCCGAGTAGGGACGATCGGCTGAAGCATAGGACGGATACGCTTTGGTCCGCCCAAACGCTCAGGCTTAAAAGTGCAAGTTGTCTAGTCAGGCAAGATCACGGAAGGTCTTTGGCGAAGTAGACAGACTGCGTGAAGACCACATGTGTGTCCAGATCACCGCAGAATCTTGTGACCTACTTCATTGGACATACTGATGGTGAATGGCCCAAATGGATATCTTTGTAATGTACTACTCATAAGGTTGCTGAAAATCCGTTGACAGCCCACGACCCGTTTCGCCCTTTTTGGGGCTCATCAGGTAGGCGCATTCCCCGGGTTTCCGTCAAACTTAAGATCTACTTGAAACCAAAACGCACGAAATTGGCGAATACGGATTTCCAGCAATTTTATGAGTAGTACATTACAAATATGCATGTATCGCGATATCTCGAATATCGTAGCGACTGAAACATGAGGCGGCGTGGTGCAGCACATTCAGTTCCCTGTGAACATCATAAACGAAAGATTCAGCTGGGTTCCAGGTGAGTCTCTCGAAAAAACCAAATTAGTTTGTCCCAAATGAATATTTTCAGCGAATGGTCATACTTACTTGGGTGACGATCCCGACAAATCAAGCTCTACTTTGAGGTTACTCCACCAACGAAAGATGATAAACGCATACTTGTTGGATTCTGTACTTAGAAGAATAAGATGAAATGAATTATTGCCACGTTCTCATCAGTTTGATCTTCCGAGTGTGGCGAACGGTGACGACGTCCAGATTTGCTTGATCAACCATCTTCACATAGGAAATTGCGATCACTTCGTGTGGAGCTGTAGGTGTCAACGGCAAGAGCACCTCAACTACATTACTTCTGTAACGAGTTTTTCAAAGCAACAAACGTCCATCAGATTCGGATGAGTGTTAATGGGATGACCATAACGTGACGATAATTTAGTGTTGCAGATGAGACACGCCATACGACGTCGAACCAGAAAAGATTGAATGTTCCGATAATCACTCATTTGGTGCGATGGACACCATGAACGAAGCTCCGGCTCAAGAGTAACTGGAATGTTCCGCACTCATTTGGTGCGATGAACGAAGCTCCGGCTCAAGAGTAACTGCTAGAAGACAGACTAATTTACTGGTTGTAAACAATACAATGTGAGTTCATCACTATCTAGCGATTATCTGAACAATCTGAGCAGTCTAGTACGAACAAGTGTTGTTGTGTTACAGGATAAATTATTCAGATATTATGAGTTGCTGATATAACACGACGATCTAGAAAACATCGTGTAGATCTGCGAGTGTTTAGTGGCCATGATTCGGGACTCAGTTCCCGCACAACAGTGAGCAAACTGTCAATGGAAATGTAAAAAGGGAAACAAACAAAACGCACATGCAACGGTCGTTTACATGCTTGATTTTATCCGTTCTAACTAAATGCCAAGGCGCTGTACTATTCAGAGACCAGCGTTGTTGTTTGTCCTTAATCTAATGGAGTCCTACAACATAATCATAAGGACTTCCAGTGTTCATACTACCGTTACTGTTCTACCTAATCCATTCATCGTGGTACAAAATGACTATGAAACGCAGTAGGTTATCGGCTGATTCAGACAGATTTTAAGGAGTCAATAGATTTTGGTCAAAGCAGTCCAGCGAGTAAACAGAAGATGGGCTTGGACCAACGAAGTAAGTTAACCTTTTCACACCTACTGTCTGGACAAATAACTAATGAGTGATCACGCCAGTTTGAAGATCATTCATTCTCCGTGCCAAACAGTAAGTGTAGGCTCAGATCGGATATCGATAACTCTACTCAAATGATGCGTGACGATGGCATCTGTCATACGGTGTATTCATTCAGTTTCCTGGTCTTTCGTGGGTCGGAGACTAGCAAAACAAGACAGGGAAAATAAATCGACTGTGTGCGTGCAACCGATGAATGGGGCCTGACGTTACATTACACGATCACCACAGTGGCTGAAGTTGTGATTGATTATTGGATCAGTTTCAGGTTACCATGACGGATACGCTGCATTTCTGCCGAAACGTTAGCTGCAGCTTACTCAGGTTAGTGTATAACCGTACAATCAGCCCCATTATTCTGGGGTTACACGCTGTGAATATCAGCTACTTTGCCTGTACAGGCCGAGGACCCCATACGTGAGTGTACCTTGAACTGACAACACGGTACACTGAAAATGATTCACTATTGGATGTGAAAGTTAATAATCCCAGTTTCTGCAACTTGGATGGTATTTATTACAAAGCTGGAACTAATCTAGGGTTTGACGTGTCGCGCTGAATCGCTCACGCCTATCGTGGCAGCATTTCACCTTTTCACACAAAAGTTGAACAATTGTGGTCATCAGATAGAGTTCGGTCTTACGTCTCATTTGCCACAAATTCTGTGAGAAATTCCTTCAACATAAAAGTCTTAACATCTTCTAGTTTGGATTTCGTATGTATTTTGAGAAAAGGTTTTTGGATCCCGATATGCTAGCTGGTTGCGAAGTTATGGTTATCTCCTCAAGGTCGCTAGATCCCATGTTTTCGTTGGCTGTTGACTGGAAAATCGTGCCCAATAGATTTTCGGGTCGTTCGGAACTGTCCAACCGGTTAACCACGAAGTGCAATGAATGGTTATGTAACAGCTTAGAGAACTTAGAGTTTCTCACTCTCCTGACTATAGCCACGTCTCGATTGAGAATGACACTTAATAGGTGAAGTATTATTTTCAGCTTATCGACAGTTGGCTAGTACTAATCATGTTCATCTAGGAAAAGGGATAAACACAAACAACAAAAGAGTACGAAGTGGGGAAACATGCCACTCGGTCTTAGTCAAATGCGTATGTAAATGAGTTTATGCACACATTATCATATTCCCGCTGAGATTGCTAGAAGACAGACTAATTTACTGGTTGTAAACAATGTCCCGTGAGTTCATCACTATCTAGCGATTATCTGAACAATCTGAGCAGTCTAGTACGAACAAGTGTTGTTGTGTTACAGGATAAATTATTCAGATATTATGAGTTGCTGATATAACACGACGATCTAGAAAACATCGTGTAGATCTGCGAGTGTTTAGTGGCCATGATTCGGGACTCAGTTCCCGCACAACAGTGAGCAAACTGTCAATGGAAATGTAAAAAGGGAAACAAACAAAACGCACATGCAACGGTCGTTTACATGCTTGATTTTATCCGTTCTAACTAAATGCCAAGGCGCTGTACTATTCAGAGACCAGCGGTGTGGTTTGTCCTTAATCTAATGGAGTCCTACAACATAATCATAAGGACTTCCAGTGTTCATACTACCGTTACTGTTCTACCTAATCCATTCATCGTGGTACAAAATGACTATGAAACGCAGTAGGTTATCGGCTGATTCAGACAGATTTTAAGGAGTCAATAGATTTTGGTCAAAGCAGTCCAGCGAGTAAACAGAAGATGGGCTTGGACCAACGAAGTAAGTTAACCTTTTCACACCTACTGTCTGGACAAATAACTAATGAGTGATCACGCCAGTTTGAAGATCATTCATTCTCCGTGCCAAACAGTAAGTGTAGGCTCAGATCGGATATCGATAACTCTACTCAAATGATGCGTGACGATGGCATCTGTCATACGGTGTATTCATTCAGTTTCCTGGTCTTTCGTGGGTCGGAGACTAGCAAAACAAGACAGGGAAAATAAATCGACTGTGTGCGTGCAACCGATGAATGGGGCCTGACGTTAAATGTCTTCATTACACGATCACCACAGTGGCTGAAGTTGTGATTGATTATTGGATCAGTTTCAGGTTACCATGACGGATACGCTGCATTTCTGCCGAAACGTTAGCTGCAGCTTACTCAGGTTAGTGTATAACCGTACAATCAGCCCCATTATTCTGGGGTTACACGCTGTGAATATCAGCTACTTTGCCTGTACAGGCCGAGGACCCCATACGTGAGTGTACCTTGAACTGACAACACGGTACACTGAAAATGATTCACTATTGGATGTGAAAGTTAATAATCCCAGTTTCTGCAACTTGGATGGTATTTATTACAAAGCTGGAACTAATCTAGGGTTTGACGTGTCGCGCTGAATCGCTCACGCCTATCGTGGCAGCATTTCACCTTTTCACACAAAAGTTGAACAATTGTGGTCATCAGATAGAGTTCGGTCTTACGTCTCATTTGCCACAAATTCTGTGAGAAATTCCTTCAACATAAAAGTCTTAACATCTTCTAGTTTGGATTTCGTATGTATTTTGAGAAAAGGTTTTTGGATCCCGATATGCTAGCTGGTTGCGAAGTTATGGTTATCTCCTCAAGGTCGCTAGATCCCATGTTTTCGTTGGCTGTTGACTGGAAAATCGTGCCCAATAGATTTTCGGGTCGTTCGGAACTGTCCAACCGGTTAACCACGAAGTGCAATGAATGGTTATGTAACAGCTTAGAGAACTTAGAGTTTCTCACTCTCCTGACTATAGCCACGTCTCGATTGAGAATGACACTTAATAGGTGAAGTATTATTTTCAGCTTATCGACAGTTGGCTAGTACTAATCATGTTCATCTAGGAAAAGGGATAAACACAAACAACAAAAGAGTACGAAGTGGGGAAACATGCCACTCGGTCTTAGTCAAATGCGTATGTAAATGAGTTTATGCACACATTATCATATTCCCGCTGAGATTTGACTTGAGAGTTCATTAGTCATGTCCCTAATATTGTCGTTAATTTATCGGGGCAACCCTGACTGAGCTTGTCTATTTGCACAGACATAATGTCCGCAGTAGTGAGAAGAAAGAAAACGATCAGCTGCCCTTTCTCGATGTGCTGGTAGGTCACATGCCAGATCGGTAGATGCGGCGCACGCCACATAGAAAGATGACTTGGAGTGAGCAATATACAAGTCTCGTAAACTTCATTCCTCTGACACAGAGACGAACACTGATTAGGTGTACAAAACTGGAAAGACGGGTTCGAACGACGCTTTTCAGTAAGAACTTGTGCAACTTGTCTTGAGGTCGTGGCTACCTCGAGAGTTTTACTGAGATAAACCCTGATCAAAGATTGCTGGGTATTCGAATACTGGCCTGTTTTGAAAACTGTAATATGAATGCTCATTAGTGCCGCCAACTCCACCCTTTATGCTGCCGACGTCCACTATATCCGCTGAATCACGATAGACTTGACCTCATCTATGATTGCTAACTACTTCAGTCGCGTATGTATGGCCTCCTATGTCGGCTGTACCATCCGTCAGCTTGCAGCCCGCCTCCGCCAACATTGTCCAATGTACTGGCTGTGGAACAACATAGGATCGTTTAGAATCCCATCAGGTCTCACCTGATTGACACAAGTCATAGGGCGGACATGAAGGAAGCTTTTAAATTCGCACGTAGAATCTCCCATCGTCTGCCTAAGCAAGTACGCACACATACCCCGGAAACTGTTGAATCAATTTGTACTAGACTGTGGGTACGCAGTCTATTCAGGCAGACAAGGTTAACCAAGACAGCCCTGATAATTTGACCAGATATGATACTATGGGCAATGCTAATGGGTTACCAGGCCAAACTTCAGTGGGAACATGACAGCAGTGCGTATGCACCAATTTACATTGTCACCTGAATGAGACCGAGTGAAGGATACTGCTCACAAAGTTGCTGAAAACTCTTCGGCAGCCCATGACCGGTTTCGCCCTTCTTGGGGCTCATCAAGTAGGCGCAGTCCCCAAGTTCCCATAAACCTTGTGTTCTCTCGTGAAAACCAAATTAATTTGCAAATGAGTGTACATCTCGGAGACCGAGTGACATTTTTCATCCTTAATTCATGTTCATTTGTCCTGTTTGTGGGCCCCATCACCTTTCATATATAAGCAGAATTTGTACTGATCAGCTGATGATAAACGAAAGACAGTTGCAGCCTACTATAAGTGCCCACAATCTAAGTTCGGAGGTACATTCATTAAAATAAAGCTTTGGAAAGGGATCATCGTGCTTTCCAGTGCTACTATGGCCTAAGTAGCCGCAGTATACTATGGCATATGGTACTACAGTAAAGTATAGTCAAATTTCAATTCGAATTACTGTCTAAACCGATCACGAACAGTTTAAACAAATTGCTTCGTTGCTCTACCTGTATACGAATGAACTAAACACCCGTTAAAGATGAAACTGTTCACTACCAACCTTCCCATTTCAGTTACCATGGCTACCGTAACAGTTGTCGTGTTAGGTTTCCACACAATTTCGACTGAAAAAAATATCCAAGATAGATTACGTAAGCTGGATGTGTACAGAGGATTTCAGAATGTGAGATCAATTTCGCCACAAGTCAATACTACTTGTGTTATGCTAATTTGTCTACCGGTTGAAAAAAATTGAAAAATAAACACATGCACTGAAGCGAGTAACCTGAAAAAAGCACACTTCCAAAGTGTGGTCGATCGTAACCCACCTAGCTCCACTGGAGACCATCATCTAGCCCCGCAAAATCACTACCTGACGAGTAAACAAACACTTGGTTGAACTCTATAATAGGCCAACAATTCATCCCATACATTGCTTTCCACTAATTCAACTGAGTTAAATCCCTTCACAATAGTCCGTACATCAATATTAGGCGAGCAGCTTTATAGGGGCTACGATTGCAGTGGTAGGTCAGGTCTTATGAACCGAAACCCACGAATATCTTTCACTCCCGTGTGCAAATTCCTCCTAAACCGAACGGATTTCGTGCACTAGGCCGTCAGATCTTGCGAAGCCTGGTGCTGGCTACTCTAAAAAAATAATAGAACGGTTAGAGTTGATTGTTGATGGAAAAACACAACGCCACGAGTGCAGTTTTTTAATAACCCGTCGCTTCTGTCACCGTGGCTGACCTTAGTCGGGAGCACACTAATCGGAAGTACAAAGGGCTTGACTGGTATATACCGATGTACGGTCAATTTTCAAGAAACGGTTCGAATAGTCAAGGTATGGGCTTGAGTATATTGCTGGGACTGAAGATTTGACGTAGTCCCTGGTCATCCGGGTAGCTGGGTTTTCATCCATCGTGATCGAACCGATGCGTTATTAAAACAATGCTACCCTGATAGTTGCGTTTACCCATCAATAATCAACTCAAAAAATGTCATAGTCCATTCGACCTCATTCGTAATGAATACGATTCAGATGTTACTAGCTGAATCACCTCAAAATGTATCATCGCATCGATTCGGTGTAGGTAACTAGGACAGTCTTAGGAATGGCAACACTACACTCGGTGCAAAACGGTCAGCTATTTCAGGTGTACTGAATAGGTTCCCTTCCGATTTTCCAGTATCCGGCAGTTTTTCTTGGCAGGTTAACGGTAATCCACACTTGGACATCACTGGATAAACATTTGTTCCACATCGGTTGGATATTCGCACGCTGAACAGGAAGAACAACATTGGTCTTAGTCGTGACCCCATTACGACTGCCGAAAACAGTACAGACCATCCGCTGACTCACTTTGTCCCAACCAGTCCTGATGTACTCGCTAACCATCCAGTGCCGGAAACTGCACCCTGATGAGTGTGCCACTCACGATTTGATTGATAGACGTTGGAGCTACTGCTGTGCACGACTTTAGCTTTGTTCGTAACAACATCAGCGGTCGGGACAGCAGACGGTACTGAAAACCCTGATGACCTGTTTCGGTGACTCAAAGGCCGATGCTGTTGCACTACTACACAGGTGGAACCCGATGAATGTGTACCCGAATTAATCATTGTGTTGTCGGGTGAACTTGTTCCTTCAGCCCAGGGAATGCGAAATTTTCTGTGGGATTTCGGGTCAGACACTGCATGCCGACTAGCTAGTGTTACACGTCCGAGTTTGTTAGACTTGCTACTTGTGAAAAGCCATACACGCTTTTATAACCTTCTCCCAAGAATAGGGAACGTAGGGGAGACCAGAGAACAAACAACACATTGCTATAAAGTCACACTAGTCAGACTGTATTATACGCGGGCATTCTTAACCCTTGGTGGGATTAATCTCGTGAATTCGCCCACCACATAAGTAACCAGTGAAGAAAGCTAGAATATTCCTCGCGAGATCATCAACCCCTCACAACACTCCCAGCTATGCTTTGCCTTCAGAGCAGTTTTTTTTCTGGAGCCGATGCATTAACTGCCACTGATATTTTGCTGGTTGGCCTGGTTACTTCTTACCTCCTACTGATGGCCCATCTTTTCTCACCCAGAATGACGGTATTCGATTGGTAATAAAGCGATTGGTAGGCATTCGCTTGCCATTGTCGAAATAAACAATGGGCACCGTGGTCGTCAACTGGGTTCACCCGATTTTCTTATGACTCATAAACCCTGGACTAGTTACAGACTTACAGTTGAATGGACAACTGTCCAGGTGCTGGGCTCGCATGTCACAGAACTGGAACCCGGAAAGACTGTAAACCGAAAGCTCGGTGTTTGAGATTAAGGACTTGTCAGTCTTTGTCTAAGTAACTCCACTATGAGGAAGACCAGGCTCCTATGCGAACTGACCTTAATGTGTTACCCTTAATGAGATTACTAGAAAATCACCCCTCTCAGTTTAGGACTCCGGACAGTTTCTTCATAATGAACAAGCAACTAATGCATCATTCGTTCAGTTCAGTAATAAACTCTACCGAGTGGGTGGGCGCCGATCTTTCACACCAGTGTGATCACACTGAAATAACCATTTTCAATGAGGAAATCCAAGTTCGCTCCTCGTCTGGTGCCTTCAGTTTGCCAGCCGTCCGCTTCTCCGGCATTAAACGAAATAATGAAACAGATGAAATCCCTGTCATCGTTGTCAGTGTAAACTGAGGATTTCAGGAAGGGCGAATGTACATTTTCCGTGATTTTTGTATCAGAAGGACAGAAAGAGACTGGGGGCAATCGATGCATAAAATGCATTACATGAACGCGGAATCGTCCAGTGGATCTTTATAAGAGGAATCAAACGTTCAAAATGGTTAAAAACGCTAGGACCTCACTTATTCGTTTTCACGGCAACTACCAAAGCAAGTTCAGGGTCTTCTATAGGAGAGAGTGTTGGTGACACAGGAGGCGTAGATGGTCGCTGGTTTGTCCACCGAGCTGGGTAATTTGATCTCCCAGGGTATGAACTCGTAACCTTTTTGGTATCGGATAGCCCTTAGCCAAGCCATATGATAAATAATACATGTCATCAGTATCGCTAGTGGCACATTTTCATTTACTTTCGAACTCAGTCCGTGCTTTGAGGTCTGCCAACCGACTCGATAGGGAATCCAACTTCATTACCATCGTTCTTTTTCGATATATACCTCTTGATAAAACCATCTGACAGAGGTAAGACTAGTATTTATCATAATTAGGGTCTGTTCTGCTTAGACCATCACTCGCTGTAAGGTTGAACTTATGTTTTATCGTTCCTGGTCTTCAGGTGCATTTCCTCTGCAATTCCTTCGATCCGGGTCCTTTACGAAAACCAATAGCCTTCCATCGCACAAGTGGTCAATAGTGGGCAAGCCGTATGAAATACTATTTTGCAGGTTTCAAAGATTGATGAACGCGTATACGTTATTAAATGGTTTCAAAAATCGAGTGCGAAAGACAAAATACTTTTGGGAACGTTTCACATGATACGAATGCCCATGCTTTGGGAAGCTTTACTTCATTATTCAAACAAATCAAACACAGGAATGAAGTATTTTTAAGAGCGCAGCTGCTCACGAAACTTTTCGTGTACAAGAGTGATCCTTTTATTCTACAGGGCTTTGTGCTCTTATTTTGGTTATAGAAACCAGCCTCACCACAAAGTGTCACCTTGACTGCTTCCAGTTCGTTTATGGATGTTTTCCTGGAAGGGAATTAGCGTCATGTGTTGGTAATTGATCAGGTGGCTGTTGATCTGTTGATCTGAACAGATCAACAGCCACCTGATCAATTACCAACCAATGCAATCGAGCTACCAATATTCCAACACATTGCTTGAGTCATGTATGTTCTGTGCTCATTCCTTCTGCAGATAACAAGGCATCGACTAGGGCCCGAATAACGCTAGATTCAGATTGCATTGATCCCGGACGGAGCACTTCGCTTCAAAACGAAGGCTTGAAATAAGTCATGGGGCTAGAACGTCAGTGTCGGAGTCTGAGGCTACAAACGTACCTTCAGAGGCGAAGTAAGCCGTCCAAGCTCTCTTTCAGGTGTCATACAGGTCATCCTGCTGGCCTTTTAGTGGGCTTGGGAAATCACCGTAGACCTGCTATGGCCTGGCCACGTAAACCTGGTACATCTGTAAAGCACAGACCTTAGGGCAAACCCAAACCCCAGTTATGGAGCATCAAAACTGTCGGCAAAAAAGTCCGTACACGGCCTGCTGGTGCAATGACCACCGAAGTGCGGACCGGACGTTCGCCTTGAAACACACGGATGGCTCACTCCGAATGGGTCTACTGGCCTTAGAAACCACATTGCCCTGGCAATGTCTGGGAGGCCACTCAAGGTCACATGCATCTGGCCGCACCGCACAGCCGATAGCACTCACACACAGTGAAAAGTGCAGCCGAGACGGATGGTAGAGTAGTACCACAGCAACAGAGTGGAGTACGATGTGACCAATATGGCATACCAAAAAGACCGGCGGGTGAGACGGCATGCCACCTGACAAGCTCCTAGATGACGAGGCTGAACCAGATACCATCCCGAACACCATACGGCCACAGTACTTGCACGCCATCACTGAGTTAACCACGTGCATTTTCGAAAAGTGTATATTTATTGGTGAAGTATCTAACTGCATCAAAACCGACAGATCGGGCCATCGCACTGTGTCTACTCTGGTGCAAGCTTGCGGTTGCTCACCGCCCAAAACACTTGCACGTGATCGATCCCATGACTGAACAGTGAACTAGCGTGGGGACAGCGCAAACTGTATGGCTCGGAGAACCAGTTTAACTAAGCCAGAAAATGTGTTCGCAATACTGTCTGACGGCCCTTGGGTACCGTGATGGCTGAGCCTACTCGTCTGGCTTTGTCTTTCGCCTGCGCCATTCATACGAGTGCCGAATGGTCGCTGACCCGGTTTCTGGACCTGAATTTCTCGCACGGCGTGCGTCAGACAGAGAAATGCAGACAAGTGGTAGAGACAAAGCCCGAGTCGCGCCGCTTCTAATCTATGGTCAAGCTGCACAGAGATGCGCAGGTAAGTGTCCGCGCTCTGTCTTAACCCATCGTCAGTGTGCACTGGCGACGTAAACCCAGTTTACAGCGTCTAAATGACGAAACAACAATCTGTTTGCACTGCGACTTGGTACTATTAATCTGCTGTGTGAGGTGAGTGTGACGGAGTGCAACATCATCATTCACGAGCTGATTTCGTAAACGATTCCGTTTCCTTGCTATATTGATCGGGATCCCCTTTGCATCCTCTCCTCGTTATTAAACTAGAAGTTTCAGTGAGTCCTGGAGAGGCTGCTGACCAGACTCAGTTGCCCATTTCCCTCCACCATTCTCACTTGGATTTTTTCTGTTGCAGAAAGATCTCATCGCAGCCTTGTATACGGCTTAGAGTTGAGCTTCCATGAGTGTCACTCGCGATTTTGGGCTTCCAGGCCTGTGCTCTATAGCAGTGTTGCTGCGGGTCATCACGTCACAGAGTAGTTTAGTGGGAAAGGGTTGCTCTGTCACAATTCTCACTGATGAAATGCTGTGCAAGAATCTTGAAAACAGCTGACTTTATGACAGGCACCCCGATGAATATGTGGACGCACTTTTATAAATATCAATACTTCAGTAACAAACGTGTAACACAATAAATCCTTTGAGTTTTGGCAGTTTTGTGTCAAACAGTGACTCCAACTTTAGGAAACGTCCAACAACATCCATAATCTGTATTCCTCGTTGTATTATCCACAAATCACGAGACTGTGTGAATTCGCTGTCAGCTAGGATTAACTTCTCTAGACGAGCAAAACATACAAGGATAATCCTGTATAGTTGACCATCCAAGGTGTTCATGGAATGTTCGAACTTATTGTCTTCTCAAAAACCCAGACATGTGGGAATTCATTGTCCCACAGGGTCAAAATGAACCGAACCTGAATCAGTGGAGGGCTGTTAATGTCTAGATTTGAATTAGTGTCCATATTTGGAGACCAGCTCTACTCATATATAACTAACAACAGAAAATGGCGATATAGTTTCTCGCACAAAACGAAAACTTATCAGCACACAAAATTTTTTTGGCAAAATACAAAAGTATCAAAAAACTTGCCCGAAAACCACATTTCTGGCACTGATCACCCGATTTCGACCAACATTCTCAAAGTTGTATAAAACAAATCCAGACGTTCTTAAGGGACAATTTGGATTTCCTCTTTCTTAGCTTGCGAGAGTTTCAGCAGTCGCGGGGATTACGTTGCGGACCACAAGGAATTTGCTCAAATAGACGCTTAATCGTTTCATGAAATAAGTTTTGCTCGTTGTCAGTGAGACCCTGAGCAATCCAGACTGTAAATTACTGGTTATCGCATCCGGTGATTGAATAGGCCGGTACACAACAATTTCGCTTTGGAAGTGATCATCATCCACTTCGTACCATTCTGATCCAATGAGTGTGCAGGACTGGTTTATCGACTCTTCATTAACGAGTGAATGCAGCCAGGATCACGTTATCCACGCATTCGCTAGAGCCCAGTGATCGTATTGTGCAGTTACTCCCAGCGAGAGGTAGTGTGACAACAAATCTGGCACACATTTCCGTCTGTATGCAGGCGGAAACAGAATGTGCGATTAATGGGCCCATCCTGTATTTTGGTCTTGCAGCCGCTGACTATACATCCATTCAGGTCTATCAGGCTGCAACAAGATTCCAGAATGTTCTTTTCAAACCTTAATAATCTTTACTTAAACCAAGTCCGATGCACCAAAAATATATCACTGCTTAGATGTGTGAGTGCACAATCGACCCTTCTATTGTTTCTACCTATCTGTGATCCTCCGAGTGGCAGTTGTCTGAGAACTGCTCCTGTTGTTCGATCACATTAATTAAGGTATCTGTTCGGGATGCGACCAGTGGGATGATTCCCGGCTTTCCAGTGTGCGATCATTATACCTACAAGATTTCACCTAAAAATCTCCCAATTGTCTACAAAATACCATTGATATAACAGTGATCGTTGTCTGTTTTCACACATCGGTGATGATCGACTGAACTGTCGAAATCAATCACTTAGAGAGATTGACCGATTCACGAATTGTACACCTCCACTTTGAGTACAATTGAAACCAACTGAGCGGATCGGCTAATTGATTAGTGAATAATCAGTCGACTAGGATTGACTTTCAACCATAGCTTTTGAAACCCCGTATGTTAGCTGTGATTTATAAGTGAGATGACATGCTAAAGCTGAAATGAGTAGATTTTGAAATTTTGGGCCATTTTCTTTCTACACGGTTAACCGCACTGACGTTTTCATACTTACTTGTTCGTCCACATCCACTGGAACATGTGCAGTTCACTGCTACTCCCCATCATTGTGCTTCGCAACCCTCGGGATTGCAAACAGCTCTCCTATTGCATCCCTCGTTGTACCATCAACTCGTTTGATGTTCGTCATCTCTCACTCACAGTGGGATTATCCTGTTTCACAAACTACAAAATGTGATACGACTTATCTTGACGGTAGCTATGCGTTTACCACTACTACCATACCCTCGTTGAAGCCTCAGATGTATCCGCCTTCTCACTTCATCGGACGAATCGGATGAACGTGTGAAACATGTTGCTTGATCCCGGTCAATATAATAGGGCGTTGGTGCGCGGGGTACGATTGCACCACAGTTCTTGGACATCATCGGACGAAAGACGCACATCCATGCTGTTACTTATGGTGCTATAATGTTAAACTGGCTGACTTGCTAGTTGAATACCTAGCGTACAAACCACCGCGGAGAAGGAACCGAGATAATGTGGACGGGAGGTGCGTGTACAAACAAATGACAGAGCTTGACACATATCCCATGAGCAAAACAGCGCAACGACCACTATATGGTGCATTTAAGAAAAGGTCAACTGCTGACAGTTGTTGCGGAACGTCAACAAATTTGGAAATGCGCGCAGGCTGTTCAAGTGGGAAGGACTGGTCGCAGGTGACTGCTAGACGCTACAATCAGTATTGTATCACAAATATTCACAAAACGGACTGGTTGTGTGCACGATTAACGGTGTTTTCGTAAAGCCAATACATCGGGATCGACCGATTGAGCATGATCTGTTAATCGGATCGGCATCTCCGAAAAAAAGATAGGGGTAGAATGAGAGTAAACTGCAGTTAGTAACGAATTTATCGGAAGTCTATGCTTTTTATACGCAAGCATACATGGTTATCTAGTAAAAACGAGGATGAGAAACGAAATTGGTTTCTGAAATTGAATGAATGTGCAGTATCTAACTGCATGGGATCGTTACGCGTCGCCGGAGATCTGCACCGAAGATGGTCTGGTAAAAAAAGACTGTAGAGCGAAATCATACTTATGATCGTCAGAGCATGTGTGCTTCATCTGAGGACTGCCAGACAGAATCTACGTAATTGCGTTTTGGTGAATATAGATCGATAACTTTTTTTCAGACTCATTTCATGTGGATACTCCGCTAAGAAACTTAGCTCCATTTATGTGCAAGGAAGTGTTACTGAACCTATCCTTAAGTATAGTCCCTTCTCAAAGGGAACGGATTTTGAGTCATCGCCTGTTGTGGGTTCTCAAGGGGAATGATTTATTTTCTGATAGACCGTTTCCGAGAAATTACCGTACTTTTGGCGATTATTCGTCACAAAGAGGCACACCAATTTTCTCATATTTGTTGTCAAGTTAACACAATAAACATGGTGCTTGTGTTTGTGTGGAAAGTCATTTGGTAAATAACTAAACATTCATTCTGTCCTCAAATAAGCGATGTCAGTCAAAAAGTAAATGACATCAGGAATGAGCCCAAATTACTCAACACTTGCCTTGTCCGGACCAGTCACGAACAGATAGTTCCGTTTTGGCCGGAGGTATTGTACTGCTACATGAGTGCGTGTTTTTGATAGTTGAGTGCTTCCCAAATTCTGCCGTTTCCGAAGTGCGTTTTCGGATGGTACTCAAAACGTTCGTCTTTCACATATGCACCTCAGCAAGCATCAAGTAGCTGTGCTTGTTTGCCCCTAAACTGCTGCATAGATACTAAGCAAGTTACTCACATTAGTACACTCGCTTAGCCAAAACCCACGTCAACCGAATCGAAGATATGTATTGAACGTTCACTAGTATTGACCTGGTCAGCTGTCCCAAGAAAATCCCATTTCAATACTGATATCGATCAGAATTTAGTCGATTGATCAGCCAGTCGCCTGCGATTATTTTTGGTAAACAGTAGCACCGAACGGAAGTTTCGTTGTGTTACCTACTTCGACTCATGAAGCAGCTTGGAGAATAGTCAGCTGAGAGCTACCCCCCCCTGCACGTTTTTCGGTGTTGTACTTTCCCTATGTAACGATCTTTTTTGCAGCGAACACAATCGTAGTTCCTCGGTTTTTCTTTTTATTTGACAGAGGGCACAGAAGTCATGAGATGAACGAAGCACATCACCGGTAGTGCTCGTTCGCCTGATAGCGAGACTGTCAAGCCAGTGGATACGAATGCCCTACTTGTGTGTACCTGTGTTATCATTCAACCTGATGTCACCGTTCGAAAAACCTGCATCTAACCAGACTAGGGATGTTAGTTTTCAACTTAAAGACACACGTGACAGTCAGGTATTTTCGATGGCTTTCTTCAGCTATACTACCGGGTTTATTTATGTTTTATGTTAGAATTTCACGTAGCAAAGAGATAACATTTTAAAAGAAAGAATCGATGTTATGGTTAGATGAGGTCTGTTGAACCGGTCCCCTTCATGCTTAGATGCATCATAGTGTTCCAGAGACAGTTCCGTGAATGACTGGGACAAACTGTCTCCATTACGACCATTGTAGCTATCATGCACACCGGCATTCGGCCCAACCTGCAGCACTTGACGATAATCGCCGAATTCGAAATTTTCCTGAATGGTGATTTCCAAGCGTCTATATCTTTTTGAATTGGAGTGTTGAAATTTAGTCACTCGCTGTCGATTCCCAAAAACAGGGCTTCAGTAGGCTCTCCGAAATGGATCATAGGCCATCAATCAGTTGCCGTGCCACAGTGATATTACTGTAGGTTACACAAATGATTGAGCGTATACAATAATTTTCAGATACGCACATCAGAGTGACTTCGGGTCTTAAAGTGAACCGTCTACATCCGATCAGAGATCCCGTAGCAAAACGGCAGGCTGACTACAGTCTCAACTTCGGAGCCCCCAGCTCACTCACTCAGCTTTCACTGTGGTCACACTATCTCCTATATCTGAGCCAATGGCAGGACTTTGTTGTGCCCTCTGCCAGTGCCTTTTGTAGCCCTTCAGGCCCGGGGAGTGTGAGATGGGTCTAGCAACTACACCATTCCCACGGCTGTGGGCTACGATGGCCGATGGTATGGGAATGGAGGTTTACTGAGGTAATGAAATGAAAGTGAGGAGCCTATACGTTCTGCGCCGATGAGCTGCACCGACACTTTGCGGTGCCCGAATTCAGTCTGCGGGCCGTCGTGCTGAAATAAGGGTGAGAAAGCTACTCCACGAATGTCCAATTCAATTTCTCTCACGTTATTCTGTAACTTTTCATGCCTATGCACCAGAGACTTCTCATGAAAGGTCATGAAAGTTAAGTAACCGTAAGGTGATTTACGGTGAGCCTGATGGTTAGCTGGATTGTCGTCGGAGCAGAGAAGGAACCTAGCAAAGTCCATAGATGACTGGAACTCATGGTCCGCTACCCAAACCTGAAAAACTAACCCAACCGTCTTCAAGGGAAAAAACATGATCATTTTTCTGACTAATTTTACATGGGTTCATAATTCTTTACTTAACGACTCTCAAGCGTACTACTCAGGCGTCAGCATACTCTCACAGAAGTGTGCTGTTACTTAAAAGTCTTGAAAAGATGACAGATCTAAGGAGCAAACAACACCCGTTGCATAACATTGGCAATTTATCAATTAAAGTGCCCCAGGTGTGTCACATTTTGGGCAGCCTGATGATACTACTATCCACAATCTCTGTCACTGCATACATCCGATTATGTGCAATCAGTGATGACGTATTTCCTGGCTGACAGAATGGAAAGGCTCGAGAGTGGATCTGTAGACTAGCCGGCAGTGTTCATCCAAATCGTTCACAAGATCTACTAGAGATGTGTTGTGATGACCCTGGTCCTTCCACCAAGAACTGTGTGGTGGTGCAGAAATTAGCCCTCAGTTGTTTGACTTCCAAACGTCAATCAATTGAGGTTCCGCAGCGTTGAAGCCGTTGGCTGAATGATCCATATCAGTAAATCGCAACCAAATGGGGGTAAATAACTGGTCGCAACATTTGTACTTATGTTACTTATTCAGAGCTTGTGACTGATCAGGACAGGAACTTGTGGAGGGTTGGTTGCGCTCCCTCTGTGGGTTTCGGGCGTGTAGTCTACTGACACTTCCAGTTGACGGCCAACATATTACTCAGTACAGTCCAGGACAATGGACTCCCTCGAGCTGTCCTTACTGAGTTTCACAAACCGTGGGCCTGAATGACCTAGCAACACCACAAAAGCAGCGGCCCAGCTGGGGTGAACAGGTCTGCAAAGTGTTCCACAGCAAGGACCGAAGAACTTGAGTTTTGGGATCTAGGAGAATCAGTCGAAAATCTGTTTCATCCCTGTCGAGCTACACATGATGCAAGCGAAAAGGCATATGCATTTGGGAGCGCACCGCCCAGAGTAATTTTCATGTTCGGTAAAGTGCTGCGTCCTTCTATCAATCAGCACCAGACTGTCTCACTCAGTCGGCAGACGAATTCATATAAAGCATTCTACTTCTGATCACTCAATTTCAACTCCGCAGTGCACTGCAGCAGTCTTAACTCTCAGACACCAGGCCGACAAATAGCTGGGCATAACAATACACTGGCTAGCGAGGACACTAGAGGAGAAAATGGCGGCTCATTTTTTGTACGGCTGAGTAGAACGGATGGAATAAGAGGACTGAGGCCGTGTTACAATTCTCTATTGGTCACACCAGGAGGTTTCGAGGCCCTTTTCATTCTGAAGATAAACATCCTACTGTTGGCGACAATGAAATTGAGTTCATGGCTTCCCACGAATTTGGCAAGCGTTCCTGGTGTTTGTTCTTTTCTTTTACTGGTCTATGATCTGAAGAGGGAGTGACAGGGTGGCGCATAAATTTGCAAGCGCCCTCCGTCAATCCTATTGACTAACCACTCTGTACATGGTTGAGTTTCGGTTTCGTGCTTGAAACCAATTTCAGCAACGGAATGCAATGCAACAAAGTGACATATCTTCACCAGATATAGATATCCGTTACATATTGGACGGTGTATTGGCATTTTAAGCGTAAATTGCGCGGTTATTCTTCGAAGCGAATGTGTCAAAGGTACGGCATAAGTGGTTGATACGAATTTAGATTTGAGGCATTGAGGTCCTTCTGTAGGTATTGTCAATAGCTGGTTATTTCGGGTGTCCTGCACAGGGGGTAACCGGTTTATGCTGTTGTCGTCTTCAAGACGAAAATCTCAGACAAGCACTGAATTGAAACAGGACAAACTTACCTCAACTTTAGCGAAATACGCTCATTTGGAAACAAATTTGGTGTTGCGTGAGACTCACCTGGAACCCAGCTGAATCTCTCGGTTTTGATGTCTCCAGGCCACTGAATGTGCTGTACCAGGCTGCCTCATGTTTCAGTCGCTACGATGTTCGAGATATCGCGATACATGTTGCTGAAAACTCCTCGACAGCCCACGACCGGTTTCGCCCTTCTTCTAGTAAAGAACAAAAAGCATGTTCTCAAAGCCATTGCTCAAAATCCGATGCATGACTGGAATAAGGCAAAGGCATGCATTGTATGGACCAGAACGAGTAACTAGACTAAAAGTTAGGACTTATCAGGGGATGAATGTTCTGCAATGGATGTAACCGGTTCAAGGTCACAGAATTCATGCCATTTATGATTAGCCGTAAGCCACTTAGGCTCAGGGATTCTTGTTTGGAGAGGCCACATCATCAGGGGTTGATGCATAAGAAATGAGCTCCCCATATAATGGGTCATGTGCCGAGGACTATATACTTCCAATACGAAATTTCATTTTGCAGACTATCACACTGAGTTTTAGTGACCAATTTTCTTGCGGGTGAACCTATCCTGTTGCTGAAGCTGACAAGTCAGTGTACTGAGTGAAAACATTGCATGCTCCTGGGGAACCAGAGTGTTGCTATGTTAAACGACACATTTAAATAATGAAGTAAAATACCTTCTGCTTCTTTTTTCGATGAGACGATACATGTACCCAGTTCCAAGATGGGAGGCGGCAGCCAATTTGAAGGCGTTTCTCGAAACAGAGGTCTGCAATGTCACTACGGGCAACTCGGAAATTGATCAGGATTGGACTGGCGGGACACTTCACGGTTGGCTGGAAAGACTAGCTGATAGGAGGCGTGATGCGCTTGTTTTCATCAATCACAGAGACGAATACCCAAGCGTTTCATATAGGCCCATGAGGTACTTCCATTAAAACGGTGTTGTTCAATAAGACATAAGGATATAATACGGACAGATGGACTTTACCAAACATGCTTATCAGAAGTGCAAACCCTTCTGGTTTCAAAAATGGGACAGTCGCCACAAAGACGGAGTTCTTGAAAGAACGAATTAACTAAGCTATCTCGTAGTTTTGTCCTCCATGAAAAATGTCATTGAGACACAGCTTGTTCCTGTCATCGAAGTTGGTATTCATATACTACCTATAAGTTCTGAAACAGAGTGAAATCTGCACTGAAATCAACAGGCTAGACATCTCCGGAACTTTGGAAATAAACATACTTCAAACGGAAATACATCTTGAGCCGGTTGTGCTCATTTTTGCTTAGTTCTAACTGCTTATCGATTAACTCCTGTGAATAGCATTCACTCTGATGGTAGTTTCTGGCTGCCGCTGTTGCATCAAACACAAATCTTGAAATGACTAGTAGCAGCACATTCAAGTTTGTTTTTCTTGTTTTTCGTCTTTCCTACACACGAACAAAAAACTTTGTGGAGATTTCGTCCTATTAGTGAAGTCGGTCTACGCTTAAAGCAGGGAAACACTGTACAGCCGTTTCATCCACATTGGGAATCATCAGTGCTATCCTATTTGTTATTCGGATTCGTAGTTCTCTCTCGTCAGTACGTGTTGATAACGGATTTATTTGCACTTCTGGTCTGTAAACAGTATAATTCGAAGTAAACTATTTGAGTGACCAATACATCTGGTTTTTCAACACAATTCCCTGCCTTTACTGACTTTTATGACATACAGAAAACATGATCCGAGAACAGTATGTTGTCAAGTTCCCTTTTCGGTGATTTGGTTCTCCTAACCTCGTCGTTCTACTGCCGCGTCACGATCAGTCGGTCAAGACAAGCCTTACTAACGACTGAACACACTTTCTTCTGTGTCATCTCAGTCAAATATTGTATACATGAGACGATTATGAGGAACTTTGCACAACATAAGGGTGACGGAAACTCGTGGACTGCGCCTACTTGATGAGCCCAAAGAAGGGCAAAACCGGTAGTGGGCTGTCGAAGAGTTTTCAGCAACCTTGTGAGTAGTTTCCTCTATGAAAACTTTGCACTTAAGTTTTATAGGCCGGCTTAGTGTACGGATGCCTCTGGATCTGTCTACATCCGGTGAAACCACCCTATATACAGCTTACGGACAAAGCACATTGTCATCTACCTAGGCTTCTGGATTGAAACTCGCATTTAATTAGTACTGTGCTAGTGTATCAGCTAACTCGAAATGAGAATTCAAGGTTCTCACGTCACATCCTTTGCACCAGAATCAAAGCTGTTAAAACTAGCTTATGATGAGCTGATAAAACCAGCGAAATAGTCCAGTGCGAGCTGTACTACAGCATAGCTAACTCCGTTTTGTTTTCTGGTATTTATGAGCACATGTCTGACTGGCTCTGTAGACGACTGACTTCCATACTCCGGCTCTGCAAGAATCTAAATGCAAGCTCATGGTGCATTACTTATCTCAGAGTGTCAAATCACTGGAATGTGCACAGATTAGGCAATAGTGTTTTAAGTCTACCGATAAATAGTTCAATAACGACAGCATTTATTTTACAGCATATACGGCATTGCTTTGTTCTATAGGGGCAGTGGATCGTTGGCACACCATGGAACTGTTTTTAATGGTACTCCAGTGAAAAAACCTCCTGTAGCTAATTTGGAGTGTGGGCTCTTTACTACTAACCTCGTAAACTTGCCATTCGGCTCGACGAAGCTACTGGGTTAAGAGCGAAAATTTACCCTATCTATCGATTATTCCCCAGGCCTTCTAGAAACTTTCCAAACTTTGCTAAGCTTTGAAGAAAGTGATATCCACTTACACATCTTGAAAAAGGACTTTGAATATACCTGCAAAATGTATACGTTTAGAAGTGTTTAGCCGGGGCGTTGTGGTAGTAGTAACGGTAGTGTATTACCAGTATTTTCTTCAGCTTAGTTCTTGGTCTGAGCCTCCCAAGCTAACGTTCAGGTCAAAACAACCGCCAAAGGTGCACAAGGTATATTAGCGCCCAAAAACGAAGTCAAGGACAATTGTACAGCGCTTCATATATGTAGTGTAAGCGGTGAAAACTTTCTGGAAATTCTGACGCCCTCTGGATGCGCCATTGGCAACCGGCAGTCAGCCATACTGGCTGTAGGGTCCGGACTTTCGACTAATCAGTTCTTGGCTTGATACCAGACCGGCAAGCGTCCCGAACTGCTGGTCAGCCTTTCGCGGGATAGGCTTCTCGGTCGTAGCAGCACCTGACCACGAGCGGTCAAAGCGGGATCCGTGTGGAATTCCACCTAACATGAAGTGAAACTTCAGAGTCATAAAAAGACGTGAGAAACAGCAGTTTCACACTGAACCCCAAACAGAAATGTGCTATGGCCCTTCTCATATGTATCATCGAGGCAGTGAGCCTTCCCACAGCCAGACAATTCAGCCGACTGATTTGCTGTAGGTGGTAGTGGGATTTGCAGAATTCATATTCACATCACTTTCGTTTGAAAAGTCCTCCTCGTGCCCTGATGCAATTTCTCTGTTGAGTCCAGTCCGAAGTGGACACATACAATGAGCGGAACTACCTCCATGCTGAATGGACCGTACGCATTCACCAATTATCGTCTTATTTCACTGTATCGTTTAAACTACTTTCGACTTTTCGTGGGAATTTTTTCAACCTTAGAATTCACTCCAATTAAAACACCATCCGTTCTACAGTGGAGGTCAAAGCGCAACACCACGAAACAGTCCAAGATTATGACCAGTAGTGAATCATGTAATGGTCACATACTGGTTGGTTTTATCGCTAAGATTGGTCGCATCGTAGTGAGAGGATCCAGGAAGGTGCGCCCCAGCGTTCGCTTAGATGGGAGTTCAGGATTTGGTTTCTCAAAACCAAGCAAAGTCCAACGAACTGAGTCACCCGTTTTGAGGAGACGACTGTGGGAGGATAACCGGGCAATAGTCGTCTGAGGAATTCCGGCAACATCGTTGTACTCAAGGTGAGCGGGTCAGGACAAGTTAGACGAACTTCTTTTTCTCTGTCGCAGACATCCCTCTCGAATCGGTTGACCCAGCACTTTGCAATGCACACATTTTCAGCAGTTCAGGCATCTCATTTCAGTCAGCTTTGCTTTCGGCCTTGTCGAAGTCAGCTAATTTTAACCACCAATGATGGAAAGGCAACAGGCAACCGAAAAGCCAATCAGTGACACGTGATTGCAACATGACTCACCCTCGGTCGCTCTCGTGACCGATCTCGTGCGACCGGCCCAAAGCTCTCATGGCTGAGTTACGCCATTGGCTAGCACAATGAATAAAGCGAATCAGCGTCATCCACAAAGCTCTGGGACGTTAAGGTCAGGCGAATGGCAGCTGCACATCCCAGGAGTGGATTGGGAAGTGCACTCGGTCCACTGGCATATTGAACAAGATGGATTATTGATCGCATCTAGTCATCGGCCACCACATGTGTTGGCTGACACCAAATATCTTGTCGCATCAGCGAATATACACTCATTTGCAAACCAATTCGGTTCTTTCGAGAGACTCACCTGGAACCTAGCTGAATCTCTCGTTTATGATGTTCTCAGGCAACTGCGCTTACCTGATGAGCCTCAAGAAGGGCGAAATCGGTCGTGGGCTGTCGACGGATTTTCAGCAATCTTATGAGTAGTACATTACAAAGGTATACATGTATCGCGATATTTCAAATATCGTAGCGACTGAAACATGAGGTGGCCTGGTGCAGCACATTCAGTTCCCTGAGAACATCATAAACGAGAGATTCAGCTATGTTCCAGGTGAGTCTCTCGAAAGAACCAAACTGGTTTGCAAATGAGTGTATATTCGCTAATTTCGTGCAATTTGGTTTCAAGTAGAACATAAGGTTGACGGAAACCCTGGGATTGCGCCTACCTGATGAGCCCAAAGTGGAAGGGCGAAACCGGTCGTGGGCTGTCGATGGATTTTCAGCAACCTTATGAGTAGTACATTACAAAGATATCTTGTCGCATTGTTCACTTCAATTGGATCCCTTTCCCCCACTGATCTTCGTGCTCTGGCTCCATAGTTTCTCACGGTTTCTAAGTTTGTGCAATCGATCATGAAAGTAATAATTACCATATACACTGTTCTTGTGCTGCCACTTCGTGATAATGAGTTTGAGGTAGTGGTGGTAGTGGCCGGATGGTCCGTGGTTCGAACCCAACCTTGGTCTCTCGAGTGCTCCCGTCTATATTTCAGCAACTTGACAATATCTCAGCCCCCGTGCTTCCTTCAGGTAGCATGAAACCTAGGCACCGAACGATTATTCTTTGTTTATCAGACTTCTTGATGACTCAGACTGGCACAAAATATCTGTTTTAGCCAACATGAAGTTGTTTGTCTGGTGTGTCTGACCAATGTCTGCATCGGATTCGTTTGTCGCCCCAACACCAACTTGTGAACCTCACGATTTATCCGGTGTGCTGCTAGACCTTTATTTGTTTCGGGTGCCAGCAGACCTAAGAGGAAAATAGTAATTTGCTTGTGATATCGGACTAGGTTGACTGAAAGCGGTTACACAAAAAGAAGAATTCGCTGATAGCTTAATCCATTGCTCCCATGTGTTGGCAAGCAAAAACAGGTCTTAAGGAAGAGGCAAGTTGGTCGATCAATTCACGCATGACCTTATAAACCTGTCCTGAAATCTGAGCAGTGTGAACTCCACTCATCAGATCTTTCAAAGAAACCGGTGAGGTTAGCAAAAAACGATCGTTTTTCTAGGTTTGTTAGCTGTAGGACGTCATAGGCTGGTTTGAGGTTTCACTGCATTTGTCACTTTATCCTTCAGCCCATACTGGCAGCTCTCCTACATGTCATGTACTCGCAGGACAACAAACTTCAGCTAGCTTTACTCGAAAAAACGCGAGCCCTGATTTCTAGCGTCATTGAGTTTTTTTATCGAATGAATAGTAATGGCTTACTCACACATAATGAATGAATGCAAACCGCTGGTTCGATTTGCAATTGATACAATCACATGACAAGAGCCTGCTGTCACACAAAACCCATACTTTCCACTCAGATCACATGATACTAAGTCGGATTAGACTGCTGATATTACTCGAAATTTATAATCCAGATCTCATTCGGAAAATCGATAGGGTTTGATGGTTAAATCAATAGGAAATACTAAAAACAGTTCCTTTTAAGTTCAAAAGTGAATGTTCAGACTGGATAACTTCAGCTGATAAGTGACCAACGTCAGTTGCTTTTAAAGTGGGAACAGCGCGATCGGTCGAAAACTGTTTTCCTCCTTTGTACTTGTGAGGGCAACGCTGTGTGACATGGAATACCCGGTGAAAAACTGAAGGTCTGCTTAATTCCGATTGTTGTGAGGCGGATATTGCAGCTCTTAGAAGTGAGCGACAGAATGGGAAGCGGCCGCAGTGCCTGTAGGCGCCCCACTGAGAATAAACCGAGTGGTAAGAAGACGGGAAATGTCCACTTAAGCGCTACTTGTGAGATGGTCGATCTGGAACTACCGCTGAGATCAACTAGCTGTCTGGATATTGCGTGGTCTCAGTTCACCAGCTGCGTGCGCAAATGGCAAAACTAGTGAAGTACCTTGGTGTTGTGCATTTCCTCATCCTCGGCTGCTAGCCTCAGTACTGTTTCAATGCTGTATGAAATGTAAGGACATTATGACTCCTTTTCTTCGTTAAGGCTTCCTTCGGATGAATGTCTACCTTCAATGTGCTCGCTAGGTAATTGGTCATCCAAGAATAGGACAAATGGACCAACTGTTGAATTTCCTTATTGTTGATTTGCATTTTGGCACCCTAAACATACTTTCGTTGGTTGTACCAAGTACGCAGCTGAATGATGGACTGCTCTATCAGTTTTTGTAAAAAGTTGGTTTCTAACTTTCGTTCCTGACTTAAGGTGCGAATTCTGGCACAGCTTTGGACGTTGAACGAATATATTCACGGCAGATACTGGGTTTTATTACGCCGCTCAAGGCGGGCTCCTTGAACTATCCACATTAATTTCGACTTACCATTTCGCCGTCACAGCCACTAGCGAAACTATTAACCAACTGTTCAATGCCATAACACAGTATGGCTTTTCGGGAGTTACACCACCTCGGGTGAAAACCTCGCCTGGACCTATGCTGACATCCATCCGTTCACATGCAGTGAATACACGTCGATCACAGTACTACTGAAGCCAGTAGAGATGTTTGTAACGTTATTTACCGTCCAATAGGCTTCCCTGAAGCGATTTTTCCAGTGCATTTAAACGTTTTGGGATATCCACAATACATATGATGCTGGTATCTGCCTTATACAACTGTGCTCTCTCTTCCCCTTTTCCACTCTGGCTCAGGGTTAAGGCAAAGCTACAAAACACGACAGTTAGCAGCTATAAATTTGCCACGCCTTGGTCGTGCACTGAGCGAATTCAATTACTTTTGGCGCATACATAAAATGACGATGTTTTAACTCGAATGCCATTTGACTGGGTCACTACTGAAGCCTGTCTCTCAGAACACAGCCAGCGGACGTAACAACAGGGAGAACCGCGCAGAAATTCAGCATTAAGGAAAGGAAAGGGGTTTATGATAAGTGCGTGAGAGAGGAGAGACAACTACACTTCCGTTGACTTCATACCTCATCATCGAACGAGCCATCATGTAATGTATGCTTGTTGTTCTCTTGTACAACGAGTTTGGACACCAGTAAACAGTGATCGAATATGTGTAAAGTGGATTTGCAGCCTTTAACAGGCTGACATGTGATTTAGCGATTGAAATTCGGATTGCTCCTGGAAATATCACAAGCGAGAGATTCAGCTGGGTTCCAGGTGAGTCTCTCGCAAAACAAAATTAGTTTGAAAGTGAGTGTATATCGCTAATTTTGTGCAAGTTGGTTTCAAGTAGAACATAAGGTTGACGGAAACCCGGGGACTACGCTTACCTGATGAGCCTCAAGAAGGGCGAAATCGGTCGTTGGCTGTCGACGGATTTTCAGCAACCTCATGAGTAGTGCACTACAAATATATACATGTATCGCAATATCTCGATTATCGTGGCGACTGAAACATGAAGCGGCCTGGTGCAGCACATTCAGTTGCCTGGGGACATCACAAATGAGAGGTTCAGCTAGGTTCCGGGTGAGTCTCTCGCAAAACCAAATTAGCTTGCAAATGAGTGTATATTCGGATTGGGCTTGTTTGTTGTCGCGCTCAATAATCGATCGCCCTGCATAATTTCGAACTAGTTTAAGATGGTTGGTACTTGGACATTAGGCCATTGAACAGGATATTCGTTCAGTTAGATGCGTATTGGTCAGCATCCCAATGACAAGAATGAACCAGCACTTATGAAGTGGGAATCATCAGACCGTTAACTGAACAATTCCGTTCTGGGTCGAGAAAGTAATAAGGCAGCGATAAGAACAGATGGCGAAAATGAGACTGCAATGCTGATCACACGATTGCCTGTCGGTTTCTGTTTGATAGTTCCTTTTACGTTCTTGCTTATTCCTTTTCCAGGCTTGCGAAATATACACTCATTTTTGTCAAGTGATGGGCATTCGAGCGTGGAAATGCTGGATGTTCCTATTATTTAGTCTGTATATAAACTTATATTTAATTTTGCTTCATTCAGTCACTTGCGAGATTTCGATGTTCTGTAGAACTTAAAGTACCAAGTTTGTGTTTGAATAACAGGTTGTTGACATGGTGTTGTCAAGTTTGTACAAAAACGCGCGCGGCCACCACATTTGATCTTCACGATCTTCATGGGATCTAATACCGAAACCCAAAACAACTGAGGTGGCACAGTGAATTCCGTGTGTGATCGCAGTTCACTCAGTCTGTGTATAATGACTGGCGCCTCTAGTCAGAACAGACTGTCGATTCCGCCCTTATCGCTTAGTACGATAGATGAAACAATATCGACTAGTACACACTAATGTGTGCTAATTGACTGAGAGATCAAGCTCATGTGACCAATGCCGATCACTGTTACATTTTAGTTCGTGTACTTTATCGATTGCACCACCCATAGAATTTACATGCTTCATCGATCTGGTGTTGAGGACCGTGTGTGTTGGTGTATGATTTAAAGTCAATCTATTTATGTGCAACATCCAGATGGTTTAGCACTGACTAAAACTGGTGGATTCAATTGATTCCTTTGTGTTGTAGATGTTAAGTTTTGCAAGTTTTTAGAGTTCTATACGCTCGGGGCGTGACGGAGATTTTGTCAGCTGTTCACTATGAACAGTAGGGCTTGCTGAGGGTGCAAATTCTGTCTTTACCGAAGCCGGTATCTGAAGCTGTGTTCATGTTGTTTTTGATGTGAATCCAGTCGGTCTTAAACATACAAATGATAGTGTCCTGAAATCGGGAGATGCGAAGTAAGGAAATCGGTCAAAGGGTATTTCATACTCGGTGTATGTT